TGAAGAAGAAGAACAGGCAGCTCAAAACATCTCATACCTGTTGGCAGATGATATGGAGCTTGATTTTGATGATGATGATGTTCCAGTATGGCGCTCCATTGTCGACAAGTATAGAGGAGGTGATCAGGTGCTACAGGGAGAAGCTGTGAAGATTACTCACCTGTTCAGGGATCAAAAGGACAATGAGAAGGCGACAGAAGCTTTCAGTTCAGAGAGGACAGATTTTTATGAGACCTCAGGACCTCTTCCAAGAACCGAGGGAGAAAATCTTGTAGAGGACTTGCTCACCAAGGATGTTGCAGAACAAGCTTTTGAAGCAGGTGAAGAAGTTCCTCCTTATACAAGAGTCTCCACTATCACTGGTGAAGTCTATACTGGAAGTAGAACACTTCTAGAAGATGAGAATATGGAAGAGGAAGTTCCTGAAGAAGATCCTGCAGTTGAACCTGGAAAGGAAGAAGAAATAATTGATGAAAATGCAGGTGTTTTTCCTTCAGAGGAACCAAAGATGGAAGTTGACCAGGAGGAAGCCAAGGAAGAGTCAACACCACACTTTCTGTCAAGAGAGATAGGTGAGGACTCGACTGCATCGCACTTACGATCAGGTGAGATGGATGCTAACCTTGATGATACTTCAGGTCAGCGGAAATCTAAGAAAAGCCGCCTGAATAAGATTCCTGATCCTCATTTTCATGAAGAAGTTCAGGATGATGCAACCATGGAAGAGAAGAAAGAGGCGGTGGAGAAGATAAAGGAGGTCAGAGAGGATGATGGAGAGAAGAAATTGGAGGCTGAAATCCAAGAATCTTTTCCATCTGAAGTAGTTGTTGAAAAGGATACAACAAAAGTTGACAATACCTATGAGTTGCATACTTCACCTTTGAAGTTGCTTGGAGAGCTTACAGGAGATCCAGGTATTGGCTTTTATCAACTATGCTTCAGGGAAACTCATGCAAGATTGCTGAATCATGTTTGTTTCAGAAAAGGTGAGATTTCCCATCCTCATTATCAGTCGAGGATCAACGAGAATGATTTTGTTCGATCCATTCGTAATATCTGTCCAGTACCTCCACCTGATTGTTATGAACATGAACCAGAGCATGATTTGAAGAGATTCTTTATCAATGATGATCGCATCATTTATTTGGATGGCAAGTATCAGGTCGATCCAAAGGCCCTTGAAAGGGCAGGACATGCTCGAGAAGAATTGGAGGAGACGAAGAAGGAACTCAAGAATGAACTGGAATCATATGGTCCCAAGGGACCCAGTTGGGACTTTGTCACCTTCTATGAAGAGCTGTGCAGAAGGTTCCTCAAAGGAAGAATAGAAGAACCATATGGAACTAACTTACTGGCCAGCTCAGAGTCCTTGACATTTTTATCCTGGAACTATGGCAACATGGCTCGTGGTCAGAAGTACACCACACCAAGGTTTCTCCAAGGACTTGATAGTGCAATGAGGCCACGCAAACAGAGCGCCATGTCACTTCAGAATGAGCAATTTGAGAACAACCTTTTCTTCAACATGCTCTTCTTTTTACGTGCACATGTCGTGATTCTCCAGGAAGCTCATCTTCTTGTTCCTGCCAAGGAATTTATTGAGCAAAAGAATTGGACAGTTTGTTTCAATGATTGGGAGAATCTTGCAGTGATGGCTAGATTGGCACCAGGTGGATATGTCAAGATCATTGCTGGACATGACCAAGATCTTGGTCACTGTGAACAGCGTGATGTAACTTGGGCTATCTACGAGATTTGTTTCGGAGAAACAAGGCCTCGTCAAGATTTCAAGGATGCAGACTTTGAATTTGATGACTATGGTCCTGAGGACAAGCGTGTTCCACTTACTCGAGCGAACATGCATACCATCAGAGTCTGTAATTATCATGTTGATACACACCGTGCTGTGGATGCCCACCTACTGACAGGAGAACAGACAGCATTGATGCTTTATGAGTGTTTTGTCTATGAGGTGGACATCATTTCTGGTGATGCAAATAGTTTGGCCTACAGAATGTCTGGGTACAAAAGGCAGCCAATGGCTAACTACTATTACAGCACCATGCAGCATTGGATCCGCAGGTTTTCAGAAGCTCGTGTAAACGCAGATCCTGGTATCAAAGCGCCTATTCCCAGAACATTTTACAGTTCAACTTCACAGGTCCTCAAGAAGTGTGAAGTTTACTTTGATAAACTCTGGGAAGAATATTCTACTGTTGAAAAAGAAGAATACCAAGGATCACAGCTTGGCGATACATGTTTGTCTACCATTGTTGAATGGGGTCATTCAATGAGTGAAGAGGAATATGAAAATTCCACAGTGAGCACGAAGGAGTTCATCTGTAATTTTTCAGAGAACTTTGCTATGATTGACACGGAGGTTATGTGCTCAAGGCCCACTGACGAGGACAGTCATGGTCCAATGTTTATTTCACTCAGACCAGCTTCCTTTTCATCTGGAGACAGAAAACAGTATCGCATGGGACCAACTCTTCATGAGGCGAACTTGCGGAGGAAGGAGAGACAAAAGCAGAATAAAAGGAAAGGAAGGCCGCCAACTTCTGATCAAGCAACTTCATCGTTTGCAGCGGCATAATTCCTGAGCGAAGGCTGAAATTTAAATGATGGCTAGGAAGTGAAGATACTTCTGGTTACAGTTGATACTTTGCTTCCAGGCTTGACTTTAAGTTGCCAGGCTGAAGTTTTAATAAATTCTGGTTTGCAATGAGGAGAAACTTTTTATCAAAGAAGATACTCCTGCATTCCAGGTTTATACGCTTTAGCATGTAGATAGGTATGGACAGTTTTGCATAACTGATGATATCTATCACAGCCGCTTTTCTGAGATGACCTCTAATGTACAACCAGTCATGGTTGATGATTAAGTCATTTCATGATTTGCAATTGTAGTGCAAGTTTTGTACATACATTTGCCGGTATCTCCTTCTTGTGTTTTTGATGTGAATGTGAAAGAGAGTCCTTTTGATGCAGTTTATTTTGTCTGTGAATGAAAGCGGTCGAGACCACGTCACGAGAAGATTATTCCTCGGACCGTACGCTCCTTGCATTTTGCAAGGCATCTTAATTCATTGCATTGTGCGGTCTTGAATTTTTAGTTCTTTGTTACGCGAGTGTCGTTTGATTCTTTTATAGGTCTCTGTAGAGAAAAAGCCGCTTTCCCTTTTTAGTTTGATGTAGCTCAGGCCCTAAAGAGCTAGTGAGCGCCGGTACATGGTATCTCCGCCTGCGAAAGGTACAGTCTCCAGCCGAGGTACATTATCGCTTTGATTTTGTACTTGAGGTGAGTCAGCTATTGCTCCCTCACTGTATTTAGTAGCTATGAGATTACCTTCTCTGAAGTGTGAAACACACTGGATTAGGTAAGTACATGGCACCGTAGTTTTCTTTTAAGTTGTCAGAGCTAGCTGGACTGTTTTAGCCTTGCAGTAGAAAAAGAGTATGCGACATACGCAATCAGCTAGAAGTGGACATGAATCTTGTGCCTGCTGAAAAGTAGAGCCTACCTGTACAGGGTTCCACTCCAACAGCTGATATAGTGTGTCCATGCTTGACTGCTTCAAGGCTCAAAGAGCAAGAGGATAAGACTCTGCGCATAAAAGACACTAGCGGTCTGCACCTCTACCGTGTACGCCCTAGTCACTCTTTCACCCCCCCCCCCCCCCCCCCCCCCCCCCTCCCCCTGGAAATTCTTTTTCCATCCCCCCCCCCCCCCCCCCCTCACCCCCTCTAAAATCAATTCTCTTCTGGAGATCGTCTTCGTGAGCCTCTCATGATTTCAGGATAGTTGAAACCCTCTTGAACACTCAGAAAGAGTGAATATGAAATTCTAATCACGAAAGGTGTTCTGTGAAGCACGTCAATTCTCTCCTGGGGAGCGTCTTCGTGAGCCTCTTATGGTTTCAGGATAGTTCAAATCCTATGATGTTCCGATTCAATGCTCACCGATGATCTGAGCGATGGGGCAAGTTTGTTTTCCTAAGAATCTTTTTGAACATTTCGAGAGCACATGTTTGAACATTTAAAGTGCATATGAACATATATGTACGAAAGGTCGCCTCCGAGGGGATAAATCACCATGTCGAACATTGCATTTTTGTTCCTGCCTCTCGCGTTCTCTTCTCTTCCCGCTGTCCTACCTTTCGTGTCTCCCTCCTCTCAAGTAGATAAATAGATAAAGAGACTATTTCGTTTTGGTAAAGGGCCGATGCCCGATGCCCACTTTGATCGTCCGTTCTTGACACGAGTCTCGAAGGGAAACCAGAGACATGTCTGGTTGCCTCCCGTATTTTTGGACTTTACGCGACTTGAGGTCTTAGCTTTCAACATCACGTTGTGGGTCAGGAGTTGGCTACGTATGCATGTCATGTTCCTCGTTCAACAACATGCGAAGCAAACACAGTTATCATGAGGATAGTCCTCCAATATCATGTTTTAAACGTTACATTATCATACCTCACGCATGGCGGTTTTGCTTTGTGATATTATCGTACGGTATGCACATTGTTTACTATATCATATATACTATATCATACCATATCTCTTCATTGAGCTTCTGCATGATCGTAGTACAAAGGACACGGTCTTTGGTTAGGATCTCACCAGGTTCAGTTGGCATACTGTTTCTAGGAGAATATTCCTGATCTCTAGCAGGTCTCGTGGTAGCGTCTCCCACATGGGACCCTTGAGGATCTGTGTGAGATTGAACGATCCGTTCTAAAAACCTCTAAGATCTCTTGAGGGTCTCTTGCTGAAAAGCGCCGCACCTGCCAAGAGATCTGAAACTCAAATCTCCCGAACAAAGCTCTGGTGCGAGATTGAATCCAGTGTGGAGTGACCAGTTCGTCAGAAATTCAAGATTTCTCCTGCTTGCATTGGAACCCAAGCCCTTGAGTGCAACGCTGTCTTGTGCAAGCCATGTGTGTGTGTGAAATCACAATGATGTTTTGCGCTAATCGCACATTCTTCTTCAACTGATTGAGGCCTCCTTCGCCACCACCCGTCTATGACAAGGGTGGCAACAGACTGAACACTAGGGATGTACGTATCAGGCTTGGGACCGCTTGCCAGAACCAGAACTCGTCTAATTGAGACGGCCAGGAAAGCTATGACAGCTGAGTACAACAGGCTGATCAGGCGCTTTCGGCGTGTCACTTTGGATTCCGTTTCATTTTTCTTTCGGCTTGTCGCCAGGTATATGATCAAACATGTTGATGGATACCTGCCACCTGTGGACTGGAAACCTTCCAAGCTGATGAAGAAAATCATTATTCCAATCGAGCCTGTCTCAGATCTTCTCCGATGAATTGTGTGTATTCTGTTTCATCTCATGAAACTTGTTGTCGCAACTCAGGAAAAGTTTCCTCAGGCTGGATTCACACAATTACATTTGGATACGCAAACAATTGGGTTTGTTTGTTTGTTTGTTTGTGTTGTTTGTGTTGTTTGCGTTTTGCGTTGTTTGTTTGTGTTGTTTGTTTGTGGGTTGTTTGTGTTGTTTGTTTGTTTGTTTCTCATTACTGTATATGTCTAATTATCTAGATCTTCTCTCTCCTTCTCGATTCGTTTTTCATTAGACCATTGGATCTTTGTTTTTTTGTTTTTGTTTTTTGTCAGCTGAAAGGCACCTTTCATGGGCGTTATCATTGGTCCACGTGGTGTAAACCACAAAAGGCTTCAGGAGAGGGGAGTTTTTATGATGATGAATGCCAATCGAACAAATGGGGGTTGACTGAGCCTATTTGCTTCAGACATTTTGCATCATTTTGCCCAGGACACGACGGGTTGCAAGATCTTTATCCGTGGCCGAGACATTGGCCATTGCCTTGAAATCAATGCCCAGATGACTGCCAACCTGTCCATGCGCTGAGGCGACAAATGGCAGACAGACGAGGAGGCAGCGATGCCGCAGCATGCCATGGCCCTAGAAGCATTACTGTAAGAAGTTTTCGCATGCTCAAAGCATCTCAAAGAATAAATTTCAATCCTTTTGGTGATGTTCGATGCTGGTACGTACTGTACGCTTTTGCTCAGAGAATCATTGAACACCAATGAGAAAGGTGCACATTGAAGGTGAGACGGAGGTTCGGGGAGCCGAACCTTCTGAGATTTGATCAGCATTTCTTTAACGAGGACAATCAGCTTGATCCTTTTGTCTTGTTGGCCCAAGCAGACAGAACAAGAGACGCATATAGAAGATGCATCAACAGCGGTGTTAAATCTATTTTCTTGAGTGCTGTATGCCGCAGACAGTTATTGTCTTTGCCGCCATACTGTCATCACAGCCGAGAGATCCTGCTGACCGGCCTGTGTAAACAGGTTCTTCTGAAAAGGAGGCTGATTGATTCTTCCTTTATTCCTTTAGTGGGACAGTCCGCAGTGTGTTAGATGAATTCTTGATGCCTTGGGGCTTACTATGCCGCGATGCCGATTGGCGGTTGTTGGCGTTGGTCCATTGGTCGGGCACGCTCACTGTGATTGAGCTCGCAGAAAGTCGATCTAGCTTATGTTACCACTTTGTTTTTTGTATTTTAATGTCTATTTTTGTTTTTATCCGCATTACTTTTTTGTTTTCCTCTAAATTAACGGAGAGCTTTCTTCCCAAGGTATGCGTATCCAAGAAATGCCCGATGAGATGGAGAGAGACGTATGCAAGAATGCCGTGTCTCCGTGGCTTTTATTTTCTCTCTTTTGGGGGGACCTAAGCCAAAGGCGGGCAGTACTAAAAAAAACAAAAGAGCTAAAAGTAAAGTAGCAAAAGAGGCTACTATTTGATAATATTTGATACTAGCAAGGAAGCACGCGACACGAGAACTCTTGCTGCACGAAATGAACACCGTGGCCCTGAGTTTTGAAGGAGCTCGTATGCGTTTGTGACCGAAAAAACGATGACGCTCTGACGTCATTGGGTGTTCCGCTTTACACAAATGCAGAGGCTCGTTGGGCGTGTTGCACTTGCCAGAAACTGATGCAGATATTATTATGCGACAACTTCTTTGCAGGAGATGGTCCTTCACAACCAACTGGATGGTGTCGTCATTTCTGTTCCGACTCACATGCACTTGGGCATTGTGGAGGAGCTCTGGAAGTGCAAGTGTATTCTTTTTGGGATGAAAACCGCTGCAGTTCTTCAATGTTCTTCATATACATAGACGTTATACACCATAACACTGGTGTAAGTCGGTGTAAGCACCTTCAAGGGCAAAGGGCACCTTGAGTGGTATGCTCTTTTGCGTAGAGGCCTGGTCAATAGGGCTGCTTTGCAAAACCAGTATGTATATCAATACATTATATATTGTTATGTTGTATGTATCTGTATAGGCTGTTTAGGTGGAAAGTTGCATTATCCACACCTTGTGCTCTGACTTTCTGTGAGGCCTGCCTCAGAGGTGCTGAGCTGCGTCGAGCTGCCGGTCACACAGGCCGAGTCGTTCGTTTCTAAAAGCAACGCATTCTTGTTACTACTAGTAAGGCACTTGTTACTAGAAGCGATGCCAGGAGCCTCTAGTAGCGTCTTGTTAACACATTCATATCATCTCATATCTTCCATTGTCGTGGACACCTTGTTGACCACAGAAGTGTGAAACTACTCATAATATGCGATGCTGTGCTTAATTGAACATTGAAGTGGTAATCTAACTCAGCTTGTGAACACAAAGGACATAGTAAGCCTGAGTGGTACCATTCCTTGGAAAAATGATGCTAAACGCCAAAAGCAAAGCCGAAGTAGATGACCAAATCTTGTATAGTCATCTTGAAGGTCCCTTGATATGACTAGAAACAGCATATTTTTGAGTGTGGGTTTAAAATGACTTAATACGATTGTATACCCAACATGTACAATTGAGATGATTGAGGTGGCCTGAAGGCTCTTTTGGTTGAGAAGCCTATATGTCAAGATCTCGAAAGCGTCTTTGCCTCAGCGCCACCAAAGCAACATCACTGAAGCACTGATATGCTTTTTGAGGCAGCTGATTTGCTGAAACTGACGGAGGGCGCAGGCATCTCCGTGCTCATTGGGCATCAGAGAAGGCATTCAAGCTTGGTGCAGAAAGCCCGCGAGCTGGTGACCGTTCCTTGGCCGGAGATCAATTGACGCTTCGGGACACATGGACACATGGGAAGCTGAGGACAAAGGCTTCGGGCCGCTGCGGGCTGTCAGCATGGCAGCTCAGCAAAACAAAAGCTACGGGATAAGTGTCCTGTTTTGAGTAGAGGCGGTACTCTAAAGTAGTTCTTTTTGAAAGGGGGTGGGGTTGGCCGAGAAGGGAGCAGCAGCAGCAGGAGTAGTGGCAGTAGAAGCAGCAGTAGTAATGGTAAGGGTAACAGTAGCGGTAGCGAATAGTGGTGGTAGTCGTAGTCGTAGTCATAGTGGTGGTGGTAGTCGCAGTAGACGTCGTCGTCGCCGTCGTAGTAGTGGTACTAGTAGTAGTAGTAGTAGTAGTAGTAGT